CAGGTCTTGACGGCTTTGTGGAAAGCCTGAAGGGTGGAGAGGGTCCGGATCTCCACGGGGAGCTCGTTCCAGAGGGCCGGAGCAGCCACAGAGAAGGCCCTCCTCCGGGTGGTCGACAATCAGCATTGGCCGGCGGATGGAATTCGGAGGAGGCCTAATCTGTGGGATCTAATAGGTAGGGCCAGAGCATTGGCTAGCTATATCTTGCTATAAGCCAACTCAACTATAGCAGTGAGACTATCCCTGAAAAGTATCTGTACGTTGCAACTGGTAAAAAATTCTGGATTGTTATCCAGTGCAAGGACAAATATCACATTATGTCATTGAAAAATCCTGACAATTATCTCTTACACATAGAATTGAAGACATTGATAGCGGATTTAAAGTCCCAATAGCTTGGGGATCTGATTATCTGCAGTTTTTATTATGAATTTGCCTGGTTACTTCAGTGAATAAGAGAGATTGTTGAAGATGCTCCCACTGCCAGAGGCTCAGCTGTTTGGAGCATGGGAGAATGCTGTTTCCAACAGAAGTTCAATATTATGGAAAACTCCTCCATGTGTTCACCTTTCCCTCTTCCAGTATATAGGAAATTGTTTTTATTCTTTTAAGCAATCATGAAAGTTTCCATAAACAGACAGGTAAGATATAAGCTTAATAATAATATGAAAAATATGACTATGCTGAAAAAGAATAATTAATTATATGGATTGGATATTTAGGCTATTGCCTCATTCCAGAGTTCTTTTGACAATCCTTAGAGAAATATATTAAAAAAATATTATTTCCTGACAAATGTCATCTTGTACTGCAAAATTCAAGATATAGGAAGCCACAAATTACTTGGTTGAGAATAAACTGCAAGTCAAATAAGTTTTTAAAAAATGCTTGGGCAGTGTGCATTTCTAAAAAATGGTTTAGTGGAAGAAACTTATACCTATTGAGAAGAAGCCAGATCATTCATGTGTTCTGAAGCTAACCAGATTATTAACAGAGCAATATCTAAGACCTTTTTTTTTTTAAAGGGAAATGAAACAGCAATCAAGAGTTTCAGAAAAGTCAGGAAGGAGAAACCTACTTAGAATAATATTGCTAAAAGAAAGAGTTCACACATCAGGAATGAAATTGAAAATATTCATTGTTTTCTTTGGCTTTTCAATCTAATGCATTAAGGGCGAAAAATCTTTTCTTATTCATTAAAAAGAGAGAGAAAAAAACCTCACTATATTTCCTCAAATATAGTATAAATATGTCCAAATTATGCTATAGTAAGTTATTTCCCATGGTGGTCCAAAGGTTAAAAGGAAAAATTATATGAGATATAATTAAATCAGTTTAATATGTGTTTTATTATACGCAATTCTGTTTCTTTGGAGGAAGCTATAAATTCATTTGAAGAAGATAAAAGAAGGTTATAAGATAAAATTACTTACACATCACTTTGATGTGTGTAAACTCTATCAAATAGAGCTTCTGGTGCCATCCACTTTACAGGCAGTCGACCCTGGGCATTTAATGAGGAAAAAAAGATTACCAAATGCGTTAACAAATAGTGCGGCATTAGATCTTGTGAGTCATTCATAGACTTGTGAACAGAAATGTAAAGTATTCATGTCTGAAGCAGACAATAGAGCTTTATATTCAACAGCAGCTACAAAATCAGAGATGGGTTCCTACTGGTTCGGTTCGGTTGAGCTGAGTAGGTAATAACTCAGCTTGCCACACCCCCAAACCATTTCTCTCCACAGCGCTGTAAGACCCACCATCTTGCTTTTTGCTTCTGCACGTACACAGAAGCATTTTTAGTACTGCACATGTACACATAGCGCGCATCAATCACGTGCGCATCAAGTACACATGTACAGCGCGTCCCTTAACTAACCGGCAGTAGCAGCAGCCGGAAGCCACCCCTGATCTGCATCTTTCTTGAGTTTGCTTTGTATAGATGGGTGGGGTCAGGAATATACTCTTCTGAGCTCAGGAGGTGTTATGGAAGTGATAACAGGATATCAGGAAACAGAACAACTCCTTTAAGCAGCTGAGGACAGGTACAGAGAAAGTGCTTGTGCTGGGTCCAAAGTACTTTTGCTAGCTTTGGATCTGAGCACTACAAACCTTTTAACTTATGATTGTTAATTTCTATGGATCTGGAATTCAACACTAAAACCTCCAGGGTTGAAAAGAAGAGAAGATAAAAGCTCATTATCTTTTATTATCTCTTGCATAAGGTTCTAAACTTTCCAAAGAATTCATATAATCCAGAAAGATTTTATTTGATCATAAACTAAACTAGCCTGAAGGCATTTGCAGATGCTTTTTCAGAATCTTCTCCATTTAATTATTGAAATAAAGAAAAATCCAAATGGCCCCAGATTTAGCCAGTGGTACTCATTACCACTCACAACAGTTCTAGAGCGGAAGACAATCCCTGGATGGATCCCACTCAATTCTGTTTTCGGTCAATTATATAAAAAGATGAGACACAAATATGGTAAAAAATAAACAAGCATTTATATTTTAGCAAGAGGCAAAATGTAATGATTCCGAATATCCATTCAGGGATTTGTCTAGAAAAATACAGTAGTTTTCTAATATTATTCATACAGACAGTTTTCACACTGTCAAGCTCTTTAGCTTTATGAACGTAGATTTAATCAAATATACCTTTTAAAAAGCCTCATATAAGTAGCTGCCTGTGATAAGGACAGCTCATCACATTCATAAAGCGAAAGAGGTTGATAGTATGAAAACTGTCTGTAGGAATACGATATACTGGTAAATGAAGACCTTGTGTACTTTAACCAGGAGAATGTCAAGATCAAGAACATCACCAAGATTCCTTGAAGCCCAACTGAAACATGGCTAATCAGAGATATTTACAGGACTAAAATCAAATGTCATCAATTAAAGAATGTGTCCCACAAAATCATCAATTACATAAAAATGTGTCCCACAAAATCATCAATTACATAAAAATGTGTCCCACAAAATCATCAATTACATAAAAATGTGTCTCACAAAATCATCAATTACATAAAAATGTGTCTCACAAAATCATCAATTACATAAAGAATGTGTCCCACAAAATAATCCACCGAATAACCTCCAGATAGTGGCATAGGCATGTATATGTGTATGAGTTAACAATTCTGTCCCTCTCAAACAGACCCACACATTGAGAGTGAAATAATGTTCTACAGTTTTAACAGACACCATTAAAAAAAAAAAAGAGCCACTAAAATTTATCCCTTATAAAGCATCATGTAACATGTACTTTTTCAGGCTATGTAAACAGATAACCTTCTCCTTCCTAGTAAAAAGGAGTTAGGAATCCTTACACACTTGCCTATTATTTTCATTCTTTGATTAAAAGTTAGGCTGCTGTACAAAAAGTCCAT